TTGAATATTGGCCTGCCTCGCTAGGTTGGGGAAGTTCTCCTGGATGATATCCTGAAGAGTGTTTTCCAACTTGGTTCCATTCTCCCCATCACTTTCAGGTACACCAATCAGATGTAAATTTGGTCTTTTCACATAGTCCTGTATTTCTTGGAGACTTTGTTCATTTCTTTTTTTCTCTAAACTTCTCTTCTTGCTTCATTTCATTCATTTGATCTTCAATCACTGATACCCTTTCTTCCACTTGATCAAATCAGCTACTGAAGCTTGTGCATGCGTCACATACTTCTCATGTCATGGTTTTCAGCTCTGTCAGGTCATTTAAGGACTTCTCTACACTGTTTATTCTAGTTAGCCATTTGTCTTTTTTCAAAGTTTTTAGCTTCTTTGTGATGGGTTTGAACATCCTCCTTTAGCTTGGAGAAGTTTGTTATTACCGATCATGTGAAGTCGCCTTCTCTCAACTCGTCAAAGTCATTCTCCCTCCAGCTTTGTTCCATTGCTGGCGAGGAGCTACATTCCTTTGGAGGAGAAGAGGTGCTCTGCTTTTAGAATTTTCAGCTTTTCTGCTCTGGTTTCTTCCCATCTTTGTGGTTTTATCTACCTTTGGTCTTTGATGATGGTGATGTACAGATGGGGTTTTGATGTGGATGTGCTTTCTGTTTGTTAGTTTTCCTTCTAACAGTCAGGACCCTCAGCAGCAGGTCTGTTGGAGTTTGCTGGAGGTCCACTCCAGACCATGTTTGCCTGGGTATCACCAGTGGAGGCTGCAGAACAGCAAATATTGCAGAAAGGCAAATGTTGCTGCCTGATCCTTCCTCTGGAAGCTTTGTCTCAGAGGGGCACCCAGCTGTATGAGGTGTGATTCGGCCCCTACTGGGAGGTGTCTCCCAGTTAGGCTACTCGGGGGTCAGAGACCCACTTGAGGAAGCAGTCTATCCGTTCTCAGATCTCAAACTCTGTGCTGGGAGAACCACTACTCTCTTCAAAGCTGTCAGAAAGGGACGTTCAAGTCTGCAGAAGTTTCTGCTGCCTTTTGTTCAGCTATGCCCTGTCCTCAGAGGTGGAGTCTACAGAGGCAGGCAGGCCTCAGAGGTGGAGTCTACAGAGGCAGGCAGGCCTCCTTGAGCTGCAGTGGACCCCACGCAGTTCGATCTCTCAGGCTGCTTTGTTTACCTACTCAAGCCTCAGCAATGGTGGGCGCCCCTACCCCAGCCTTGCTGTTGCCTTGCAGTTTGATCTCAGATTGCTGTGCTAGCAGTGAGCGAGGCTCTGTGGGCGTGGGACCCTCCGAGCCAGGCGTGGGATATAATCTCATGGTGTTCCATTTGCTAAGGCCATTGGAAAAGCCCAGTATTAGGGTGGGAGTGTCCTGAATTTCCAGGTACCATCTCTCATGGCTTCCCTTTCCTAGGAAAGGGAATTCCCCAACCTCTTGCACTTCCTGGGTGAGGTGATGCCCCGCCCTGCTCCGTGGGCTGCACCCTCTGTCTGACAAAGCCCCAGTGAGATGAACCTGGTACCTCAGTTGGAAATGCAGAAATCACCCGTCTTCTGCGTTGCTCATGCTGGGAGCTTCAGACTGGAGCTTTTCCTATTCGGCCATGTTGGAACCTCTCTCTCCTCTTTTCTTTATAAATCTTGAGTTTACTTTTATTCGTTGAAAAGAATCTAATGCCAGTTCTCCCTTCTATATTAATGGAGAATGAGCGTGCAGATAAGTGTCTCTATATGATACCTTGACAGGTTTCTTTCAGATGCTGTGTCTATAAAAATTAGCCCATCTGAGACCCATCACTGGAGCCAATCCATTCCTCAATTTTTAAAATATTTTTTATGGGGGTATTTACAGGTGTCAGCCACTGCACCTGACCAATGACTATGTTTAATATTGTTAAAAATTAAGACATACTCCTTTTCTTCTGTTGAATATAATATTAATTATATTATCAGAAATTTATACAAGCATCAGTAATAGGCATCTGATTTTAAGTGATTAATCAGCTACTTCTGATTGTTCATAAATGGATTATACTTTGTCAGTTTTCCTTAGTGATCTAAATGGTTCTCTTCCTCTGCCACCATGTAGGAGGGTCATAGGCTGTGAATAGTGGAGTTGTGGGAGGAGAAGATTGGGCCCAGGCACAATGAGAGTGAATATGTAGTTTTCGCTATGTCATGAGGACAGATAAATCTATCTGGGATAGATTTGTATGTTTTGGTGGTTGTATTACACAAAGCCACGAACTTCGGATTCTTCACTTTGTTGAGTACCAGCTCTATTCTTGGACATAAGTGTCCCTAGCCCTGCCTCACCTGGTTTGCAATAAACCGTTGCATTTTTCTCACTTACCTTATACCAAATTATTAATCGTATTGTGATGTTATTACAAAGCCTTAATTAAAGTTGATTCAGTCTTTTGCAGGGATTGAAATGGGTTAGGACTGTTAATTGTCAGCTATTTTTGCTACTACCCCTATTTACTTACCAGAAAATAAAGTAAGAGGGTTGGGAGAGAGTACCATACTATTACTGCTCTCTCTTGTCCTTCAGTTGTTGAATGTTAGCTGAAGAAACCAGAGTAAATTATGAATTGAATACACTAATCCTTTGTAGCATTTGAACTGTTAACTTGTTTGTCTGAATTTATGTGTACTGTATTGTTCTGGTGAATAGGTTTGGTGTTTAGGTTTCATAAAATAAATCTGTGGATTTGCCCTAGTTCAGAGTGATACATTGAAATTAATTTTATAATCCGTAACTTAAAGCAGTGTTCTTCAGCCATTTTTCTCATTATTCCCTCCTAAGGAGCATTTTTAGACTTGTTTTCTGCCTAATGGCCTAATGGGCCTTCTCCCCTTCAGATATTTTACTGCTACAGATATACAGTATATAATAACTATGTTATCAGTAGGGTTGAACTTTGGAGGGCTATAGACCATTGTAATATTTAAGATTTCCAACTCTCCGTAAGAACCACTTTTCTTCCCCTTAGGGATATTGCCCCAATTGAGGCTGTATGATTTAAAGTGGTTAAGGCCAGGCCTGGGGGCTCATGCCTGTAATCCCAGCACTTTGGGAGGCCAAGGCAGGAGAATTAGTTGAGGCTAGGAGTTCAAAACCAGTCTGGGCGACATAGTGAGACCCTGTTTCTCAAAAAAAAAAAAAAAAAAAGCTATGTACGGTGCGTGTGCCTGTAGCCCCAGATATTTGGGAGGTTGAGGTGGAAGGATTGCGTGAGCCCAGAAGTTTGAGGCTACAGTGAGCTATGATCATGCTGCTGCACTCCAGCCTGGACAACAGAGTAAAACTTTATCTCAAAAAAAGTAATTATCAGCCTGCAGTGATTTTTGTATCCTTCTCAATTCAATCATGTCTTACTTCATTTTTGTTACTGTGAAGGAATACCTGAGACTGGGTAATTTATAAAGAAAAGAGGTTTATTTGGCTCATGGTTCTGTAGGCTGTACAAAAAGCATAGCTCCAACAGAGTATAGTTGAGAGTTAGACTTAAGTGGCATGTATTTCGCATGTTTATGTTTTTAAAAAATTATACCAGTTATGTCTTCAGACATTAAAATAGTATGATTTTAAGTGTTTGATGCTTGTATCTTCTAAAAAAAAGTTTTTTTGCTTTTTATACAATTCTAACAAGGGACTCAGTGTGCTTCCACAAATGGTAGAAGGTGAAGAGGAGCCAGTGTCTGTAGATTACATGGTGAGAGAGGAAGCAGAGGGAGGAAGAGGTGCCAGGCTCTTTTCAACAACTAGTTCTCTTAGGAACTATGAGTGAAAACTCATTCACTTCCACGAGAATGGCACCAAGCCATTTTTAGGGATCTACTGCTACTATCCAAACACCTCCTACCAGACCCCACCTCCATCATTGGGAATCAGATTTTAACATGCAATTTGGTGGGTGATATCCATCTAAATCATAGACACCTTCAGGAGACATTTGACAGTGTTTGGAGACATTTTTGCTTGTCACAACTGGAAGTGGTGCTACTGGCATCTAGTGTGTAGAGGTCAGAAGGGATATTGGTAAACGTTTTACAATGCACAGGGCAGAGGACAGCCCCATTCTGCTTCTAAACACAGACTCATCCAGTCCCAAATGCCAGTAGTGCTAAGGCTACTTTGAAGTTCGATAAAATGAAAGCCAGCCTGGGCAACGTGGTGAGACCTTGCCTCTTATAAAAAAAAAAAAAAAAAAAAGCCCAGGCATGGTGGTGCGTGCCCATGTTCCCAGCTACCCTGGGGACTGGGGTGGGAGGATCACCTGAGCTTGGGGAGGTCAAGTTAGCAGAGAGCCATGATTGCTCCACTGCACTCCAGGCCTGGTGACAGAATGAGACCCTGTCTCAAAAAAAAAAATAAAAAAAAATGATTGAAAGTACGTAAATTTTCTCTTTATTCTTTTATTAAACATCATTCAACTGAAATATAAAATAAAGTTCAGTATTAAAGATATTATCTAATTTAGTTTTATCTACTTGATAGCACTAATCTCCTTATGCATAAAGTAAAAAGTATGAAATCTTTCTTGGTTGGTAGCAAATGTGGATTCCATTGTAGTTGAGAGTTAGACTTACGTGCCATGTACTTGGCATGTTTATGTTAAAAAAATTGTATGAAGTATTGCCTCAGACATTATAATAGTATGATTTTAAGTGTTTGATGCTTGTGCCTTAAATTTTTTTTTTTTTTTTTTGCTTTTTATACCCCTCCCTCCTCATTTTGGAGATGCAGAATAGCATAATGAACTCTGAAGTCAGAAGTTTGAATCTTGGTTCTGCAGTTTACTAGTTTATGTCTTTGGGTACATGGTGGCATAAACAAAGTACCTGCCTCATAGGATTGTGCGAATTAAATAAGTTATGTATAAAGTACTTACTGACATATAGGAAGAGCTTAAATGCTAACCTTTATTCTGATCTACTCAGCGTGCTTTGTACTTCATTAAGATGCCAAGTAATTTTGCTTTCTTTTCTCTTTGTAGATTTATGGTGGATTATTTTCTGAAGATAAGTGTTGGTACAGATGCAAAGTACTGAAAATCATCAGCGATGAAAAGGCAGGAAATTAACTGTTCATTTTTTTTTTTTTCTTTAAGAAATATTTATTGTGGCTCCAAAATTTGATGTTTATTTACCCCATCATTGCTTATTCATAGTAGTGATACCTGGTTCAGTGATTAAAACACGGAAGAAATTAATTGCTAAAAAACATGTTGTTTTATAATCACCTCAGATTATTCAAGAATAGGTTATATAATATGTAGGTTATTTTTGGTGCCTAGTTCTTTTTGTCTCAGTTCTTTTTTCTTTGAGATGGAGTCTTTCTCTGTCACCCAGGCTGGAGTGCAGTGGTACGATCTTGGCTCACTGCAACCTCCTCCTCCCAGGTTCAAGTTATTCTCCTGCCTCAGCCTCCCAAGTAGCTGGAATTACAGGCGCCCACCACCACACTGGCTACTTTTTGTATTTTTAGTAGAGACAGAGTTTCACCCATGTTGATGAGGCTGGTCAGACTTCTGACCTCAGATGATCCGTCCACCTCAGCCTCCAAAAGTTCTGGGATTACAGGAGTGAGCCACTGTGCCCAGCCTACCTCAGATCTTAATAGTTATATTTGGTTCTTGCTAATGAGTATATTTTAAATGTTCTTTCTATTAAGCTTTATGAGTAGGAGAAGAACATTTTGATTGATCCTTCTGAAGTTAGGTATATCTTTTATTTAGTTGATGTGAATATTGTTAATAATAATGATTGATTTGCCACTTTCTTGTGCCTGGGTTAAATGTGGTGAGTTTTCTTTGTGTTAAGCTTTTTTTTTTTTTTTTTTTACATTGTGAATTCTTGGAGGATTTTTAAGAGGATTTAGGGAGATAGAATTCTGAATAGCTATTTGGTGACAGTTGCATATTGCAGGCTGTGTGAAAGCACCTCTGTAGGATTTCCTTTAGTGTTTTTTCTACACCTGCTTTCTGTACTTAAATTATAATATGTATGTTTTTACTGAACCTGGGAAAGCGATTAAGGATAAAAGATAAAAAGTTAAAAATATGTATGTTTTATAAATATTTTCTTTGGTGTAATAAGATGCTAAGATGTAACAATTTGATTAGTATTCTGAATAACTTGGTTTAAAAAAAATCTCATTTTTTGCTGTCTTAGGTAATGGTTTATTTTAGTGGAATGGAACTTTCTAATTGACCTTTCTCCTGTGATTTGACAACTGGAGATGATATTTTGCATTTGCTTTTCACTTGGCTTTAATTTTTTAAATTAAAGGGCAACGTGATGTTTGACCTTGAAATAACTATTTTTCTTTTTTACTTTTTAAGCGGATGTAGAGCTAGGTAAGGGTGGTGAATCTGATTAGTTTACATGGTCTACCTGGAGTGAGTTTAATTGTATCAAAGGAAGTTTGATAACTTTGCCTTTCTTTTCAGATTTTATTCTTTCCAACTTGAAATTGAATTGAATGTTGCTTGATTTTAACATTAGGAGAAACAGGAGAGGGCTGTAAGCTTCATAGGTTGATGTTTATTTAAAATATCAATTGTCTAAAAACAAAAAACACCCTAATGAGAAATGGTACTGTTGGAATTTAACTAGTAGCAAGTAAAGAAATCACTGGAATTTCATGGACTGTGGATTTTTTTTTATTTTGAAGATATGATTAGAGAGCTATTTCTGAATGTATTTTGTCATTTTGAGATAAGAATGCTATTTTGATACACAGGTCATTAACAGAGAGCAGCAAATTGGTGGTTTCTTTGTAAATATTTAATCTGGGGTCAGTATTAGTATTTGTCTCTTATTTTTTCCAGTGTCTGGTGCGGTACATTGACTATGGAAATACTGAAATTCTAAATCGATCTGATATAGTTGAAATTCCTTTGGAGCTGCAGTTTTCTAGTGTTGCCAAAAAGTATAAACTTTGGGGACTACACATTCCTTCTAATCAAGAAGTTACCCAGTTTGATCAGGCAAGTCATGGATTTTAAATGTTTTTGCTAATGAAAGTAAAACTATGTGCTTGAAACAATATGTAAGTATAATTAAATTTTACTTGAATAGAAAAGTCTGTATAAATTAGTGAAAAATAGGAATTATAATTAGAAGGCAATTACATATTTATACTCATTTTTGCTAGGTAAACATTGAACAGGTAAGAATGACATATACATATGTAATATATATAAATAGTTTCTTCTGATGTTTAAAAGGATAGTCTTTTTTTTTTTTTTTTGAGATGGAGTCTCACTTTGTTGCCCAGGCTGGAGTGTAGTAGCGCGATCTTGGCTCACTGCAACCTCTGCCTCCCAGGTCAAACAAATCCTCTGCCTCAGCCTTCCGAATAGCTGGATTACAGGCCTGTGCCACCATGGCCAGGTAATTTTTGTATTTTTAGTAGAGTCGGGGTTTTACCATGTTGGCCAGGCTGGTCTCGAACTCCTGACCTCAGGTAATCTGCCCACCTTGACCTCCCAAAGTGCTGGGATTACAAGCATGAGCCACTGCGCCTGGCCCAGGATAGTCTCTTATATGATGGAGAAAATAATGAATGCAGTTATTTCTATAATTGTTTTGGGAAGGTATTTATTAAATAAAAGTGATCTTTACCTAGTCCTGATCATAAATACCACAAATTTGAAATTAACGGGGTTATAATCAGATTTTATCATTTTGGCAGAGGCTGATACTGTTTGATGTAAAAATTGGCAGCAGATGTTTTGCTTATGTGGCTTCTAGTTCATATTCCTTTCCACTGAATTTTGGGTTGGTAACCTAATTCTGGAAGACATTCGATAATTTCAGGGGTAGTCTTACAGGAATCCTACCTCTTTTAAAATCTGTTGTACAGTGATGATTCTTTTGGTAAATGGTAATGCTGGTAAGAGATATTACATTGCAAAGTAATCAGGTTTGTAATTATTATAATAGCAGCTCAAGTAGCTCATGTGGAAAACAATTTAATCATTGTACGCGTTGTAAAGAAATTAATTAAAATTTAATTAATTAATTGAAATTAATTAAAATTTAATTGAAATTAATTAAAATTTAATTAATTGAAATTAAAATTGCCTCTTTATTTTCCTTTGAGAATCTTGTAGGTGTGTTGGGTATAATTTTGTATGCTATGTAGTTACTTACAAGAAACATTTCTGTACATAAAACTCAGGCTTTCATAAACATGAAATACAGATATTATAAAATTATACCCTAAGTTTCTGGTTTAAAATCTAAAGTTTGTTACTTTCTTCTTTAATATAAATGCTTTGACCAAGGTTGGGGAGGCTTGTTTTGGATTTCTTTCATGCCTAAAACTCTAAAATCTTGTTTACATACCTTAGAATATTATCTGCTCTCACTTTATTTTACATATAGGAAAATTGTAGCCTAGAATAATTAAATGACTTCAAGTCATGAAGCTAATTAGGGAAGAGCTAGGCCTAGGACTCAAGTCTATTGTTCTTTTCATAGTAAGATGCACAGATTTGTGTTGATTGAAATACACATGAATCAAGTGGGAAAAAGACATTAAAAAAAGTTAATTTTAGAATTGAATGAATAAACTGAAGCTGAGAATGTTTTTGTATGTTTCAAAGATTCTTTATAGATGGTACTGTATATAAACATTTATATATATATATTTTTTTGTTTTGTTTTGCTTTGTTTTTTTTGGGGGGGATGAAGTCTTGCTCTGTCGCCTAGGCTGGAGTGCAATGGCGTGATCTCAGCTCACTGCAACCTCCACCTCTTGGGTTCAAGCGATTCTCCTGTCTCAGTCTCCTGGTAGCTGGAATTACAGGCGCCTGCCACCATGCCCGGCTACTTTTTGTATTTGTAGTAGAGATGGGGTTTCACCATGTTGGCCAGGCTGGTCTTTGAACTCCTGACCTCAAGTGATCCCCCCTACCTGTGCTTCCCAAAGTGCTGGGATTACAGGCATGAGCCACCCGGCTAAACATTTGTATTTGGATGCTTAGTTCAGTAAAAAGATCATTGATTAGAGTTAAGCTAATTGGCACACAATATTTTCTGGAAAAAAATGAACTATTCTTGAATAGCTCTGCTTAAAAGGCCCATGTTTAGTTATTAATTCTCAGTCCAAATTTCAACTCTAATCTTTTTATATGAAGTCTTTGCTAATACCCACTTACCCGGTCCTCTGTGGTGTTTTAGTCACTCCGTATATAAAGCCTATAAAGTTGTAATTTTTTCCTCCTCTTCAAGCCTAGTGAGTTTGTAGAGGTAAGTATTCACTTTTCTATGTCTAATTTCCCTGCCAGGTAGGTGTTAGATGAGCATCAGTTTATCTAGCATTTGAATAAATAGATGAACAGTAGGGATTCAGTAACAACACAAATGCCTCCCTCCTTCCCCTTTTCCAGAAGGTGTCCTGGGCACTGAAATTCCTTCACATTTTTAACTAACACTTTCACGCTATGCTACGGCACAGTCAGAATCGATACCCAGAATGGTAGTTTGCTGAAGATCAAGCATATTACATTACTGTTCCTACGTGCCTGACTTTAAAAATTATATGTAGAGTAAGGGAATGAGAGCTAGAGCTTGGAATTTGTGTTTAACAATTTAAAGACCTTTTAGCTTGTTTTCTAATATATACAAGCAAAATTCAGAGGAATAAAGTAGAAAGCAAATGATCCTTTCTTGTTTCTGAATGAAGCTTACCAGTTTGGAAAACAGAATGAAATATATTTCTAAAAAGTGACATTAATCTTTTTTAGTGATTGAAAGCCGTATGTTCTAAACCAATGACCAGATTTATTTTAAAAAGTTAAGTTTTGCCAAGTGCAGTGGCTCATGCCTGTAAAGCCCAGCACTTTGGGAGGCTGAGGTGAGTGGATGGCTTGAGTCCAGGAGTTTGAGACCAGCCTGGGCAATATGGCAAAACTCTGTCTGTACAAAAAATACAGAAAAATTAGCTGGGCGTGGTGGTACATGCCTGTAGTCCCAGCTACTCGGGAGACTGAGGTGGGAGGATTGCTTGAGCTTGAGGGGTCAAGGCTGTGAAACCCTGTCTCAAAAAAAAAAAAAAAAGTTAAGTTTTATACCTTTTAAATACCTAAATATATATTTTTAAGTGCAGATATGTATCTCCAGCTCATAAGGGTTAGTGGAAAATATATTTCTTATGATAAAAATCAAATGTTTATATGTAATATATATAAAAACATACATATTTTTGGTAAAGTATAGTATTAAAACACCCATGTATCATATACTCTGTCATTCTTTTTGTTAGTTGGAACTGAAGGAGACTCAGATTTTACTTCAAGTTCAGAGTTCTGTGTTTATGATTATAGATGATTCAGGGAGAATCTGTTTGAACAACTTCATACTAATTGTGATTGGTGATTGTAAGTAAAATGAATTTGAATTCAGAGAGAAATCTAAAATTAGATTTCTGCATAAAAATTCTATGCAAGGAGTAATGGACCTTTAGAACATTCAGCTTTAGGTAATTGAAACTTTTGTAGAAAATAGGTTATTTCCATTTGAATTCACATATTGCCCAAAGACAGGGTTGCTTGAAATATTAATAATTGCACATATACCAGCAATAATTTTCAAAGACTTCCTAGGGGCATAAGTTGTTCTTGAATTTTTAGATAGACTTTTGATGATAAGAGTTGAAACCAAGAGTTTTTGTGTGAAAGAGGTTAACTGGAAAACTACATCTAATTGATTAAAATCCTAACATATATTTCAATTATTTACATTTTGAGGTTGTTAGCTTTGCCTGCTTGATCCCATTTGATTGGTGATAACTTCTGGACCTCATTTGTTATTTATATTGATATTCTTGGTGAATTCAAGCCTCTTGATATAATGTGTATATTTCTGAATTTTATGCCTTAAAAAAATTATAAAACCTGTGTTTTTGTTAACCTAAAGTATTTTCTTATTTTGTTTTGTGGATTTAAAAAATTATTTTTTCACCTAGGCACAGGGTGTGTGCCTGTAATCATAGCTACTCAGGAGGCTGAAGTGGGAGGATTGCTTGGGCCCAGGAGTTCAAGACCAGCTTGAGCAAACATAGCAAGACCCCATCTACAAAATTATTTTTTTCTTTTTTTTTTGGGTAGTGATAGTTGGTGATTCTTGAGCATATGTAGTTTGAGTCTCCTTTTCTGCACCTTCAGTTGCATCCTTCTAGGCCCAGGTATCCTTAACCTGGTGTTAAAATAAATGTGTCAGCCAGGCGCGGTGGCTCACGCCTGTAATCCCAGCACTTTGGGAGGCCGAGGTGGAGGGATCATGAGGTCAGGAGATTAAGACCATCCTGGCTAACACGGTGAAACCCCGTCTCTACTACAAAATACGAAAAATTAGCTGGTCATGGTGGTGGGTGCCTGTAGACCTGAGATCACGCCACTGCACTCCAGCCTGGGTGACAAAGCCAGACTCCATCCCAAAAAATAAAAAAGAAAAAAAAATGTGTCCCAATTAAATAATTCTTTTTTGTAATTGTGTGTATTTCATGCATTTAAAAACATTATGAGAAAAAGTCCAAAGATTTCACCTGACTGATAAAGGAGCCCCATGGCCACAAAAAGGTTAAGAATTCCTATGTAAGTCTCACTTTTACCCTCTATACTACTGTGTAGTTAAAAAAGAGAAAATAGTTCTTAAAAATATTATTTAGTTTCTTGGACCTTGACTTCCCCACACCCCCTATTTCTTTTAAAAATGTGGCTGGTTTGTATTTGGTGGTTTTTAGTGTGTTTTTTACACTCTTGTTTCTCTGGTTATTATAGGTATGATGTCCTATTTGATTTGCTTTGTTTGCATAAACTATATTGTTTTTCATATTTATAGAGTGGGAATGTAGCTAAAAATACAGCTCCACCTTCTAAGAGAGATACGTTTCATCAGATGATGTCCCTATTTCAAGGAAGTTGTGAACCAGTAAATTTGAGCAGTACCTACCCATTTTGTGTTTTAAATTTATGCTTTATATATTCTGAAAAAGAATACTTACTTTTAATTTCCTTTATAGTATGCACAGGGTAAAAATCAGGAAAATAACCTAGAGAAATTTGGGAAGAGTAGTTAAGATTGTGTCAAAGTAATTTTAGTAATTACAATTTTATGGAGGAGTAGATAAGTTCTTACTAAAATTAAGTTTCAATATGTTCCAATCCCAAATACGTTTTAGGTATATCTTTGCTTAGTTCTGTTGATGGATATTCAAGTGCTCAAAGTTAGCAAGCACCTAATTTCTCATATGCCAGTTGTACAGTTGTAGCCCTCTTAAGCAAAAGTCTATTTAAGAGAGTTTTGAATGTAGAAGGCCAGACACGGTGGCTCACCCCTCTAATCCCAGCACTTTGAGAGGCCAAGGTGGGTGGATCACTTGAGGTTAGGAGTTTGAGACCAGCTCAGCTGACATGGTGAAACCTCATCTCTACTAAAAATACAAAAATTAGGTGGGTGTGGTGGTGTGTGCCAGTAGTCTCAGTTACTGGGGAGGCTGAGGCAGGAGAATTGCTTGAATAGGGGAGGCGGAGGTTGCAATGAGCCAAGATTGTACCACTGAACTCCAGCCTGTGCAACAGAGTGAGATTCTGTCTCAAAAAAGAAGAAAAAAAAGTTTTGAATATGTATTTGTGACACCTCACATTTTATAATTTCAGTTTGTTGATTTTTAAATAATTTGTATTTTGTGCTTTCAGTTTGTTTTTTCACTTCTGTTCGTCTTACTTTAAAATCAGAGTTCCTGAGTGCCTCTAAAACTTTTAAAGTTTTGTAAAATTGAGTACCTTTTCTAGATATCAGAGATTCATTTTTATGTGCTGTTGCTTTTCAGGAGAGCATTGTATTTACTTGGGGCCAAAGTAGTCAACGTAATCTGCTGGGTTAAAAAAAACTATTCTAGGATATTTACTTAGTAATACATTTTTAGATTTATAAATATGGCTGCCTATACAAGTATTTAGCTCTACTTCATTTTAGCAAATGTGTAATTGGAATACATTCATATATGTGGAGATATATATTTGCATATTATAGACAACATCAAGGTAAGACTTCTGTATATAGAGATTTTAGAATGAAGAAATACGATGCTTGGAAAAAATGGGTAGAAACAAAATAAGGGAAGAGAAACATGTTGGTGTAGCTGGTTTATGTTTTCTTCTTTCTTAGGGCACAACTTTTTTGGGGAGCTTGATTTTCGAAAAGGAAATTAAAATGAGAATTAAAGCAACCTCTCAAGATGGAACGGTTATTGCTCAGGCTGAGTATGGCAGTGTGGATATAGGGGAAGAAGTGTTTAAGAAAGGATTTGCAGAGAAATGCAAACTTACTTCCAGAACTGACATCTGTGAGGAAAAAAAATTGGATCCTGGTCAACTTGTTCTCAGGAACCTCAAAAGCCCCATTCCTTTGTGGGGGCATAGATCAAACCAGTCAACTTTCAGCAGGCCCAAGGGGCACTTAAGTGAGAAGCTGACTCTTGACTTGAAGAATGAAAATGATGCAGGAAATCTTATGACATTTCCAAAGTAAGAATTTAGTCTTCACTTAGATTTCTAATTCATTGTAGAGGTCCCTGTCATAGTAGAATAGAAGTTAAGGCTTATGCTTTTGGAATCCTTAACTGTGTCAGTGATTTTAAGGGCTGATGCTGATATTTCTACTTTTCTCAAATGTATTCCTCTCTGCTTTAGCAGGGGTATTTTCATTACAAGCTATTTTGAAAGAAAAATAATTCCTGAATTATTTAAAAGTTTACATACAAACTTTTCATGCCAACTCATTGGAATACACTTATCAAAAATAAAAATCTGCTCCCAAATCTGAATTATTCAGGCAAAGTCAGAATTTCAGATAAGATTTGAAATTTTTCCTATGACTTTAGGAATATTTTAAAGAGTTTCAGGGAATTGCCTTTACTTTTTAAATAAAAGTGAGACTCTTTCTTCTTCTTGTGAAAACTTGTGGTGGAGTTTGATTATTCCGAATAGCTTACGTTTTAGATAATTTTGAATCATCAACTTGAAGCAGAAAGCCAGATTTGATATTTATACGTATCAAAACAGTCTTCTATATTATGGTCCAAGACATGATGGTGTATCTTGGATGATATAGTTGTTTGATGGGATCTCTTCAGTGCTTTAGGAGCTAAACTGTCAAATGGTGGAGGAGGCGGTGAACAGGGGGATCACAGGGAGGAGGCACTGGAAAAAAACTAATACAGAAATGCTTTTTACTTTGTTCTTTGTAGTTGATAGTGCTATGAAGAAGTTGGAATATATTTTCTTTGAGTATTAGAGGCATTGTTGAATTATGCCTTCAGTTATAAAATCTTGTTTGCATTAAATTATTTTTTAATATTATGAACTAGGTAAATATTTTAGTTTTCAAAATTAACTTTCAGATATATTGTGGTATAAAAAGACCAAGATAACTTAGATTTGTTTTCTCTGTCATCCTTATTCAGTTTGTTTTTTAAAATAAATGAATTTGTTTTTATAGGGAAAGTTTGGCTGTTGGTGACTTTAATTTAGGGTCTAATGTCAGCCTGGCAAAAATTAAGCAGGACCAGAAACTGATTGAAGAAAATGAAAAACTTAAAACAGAGAAGGACGCTCTTCTCGAAAGTTATAAGGCATTAGAATTGAAAGTAGAACAGATTGCCCAGGAGCTGCAGGTATGTTCAGTGGCTTAAGGTGAAGAGTGTCCAACTGGGAAATCTGTGTACTCATCTGCTGCTATTTATTTTTCTGTCACTTTCCTTTCCTTCCCCACCTCGTCCTCTACTTCTTTGCTAATCCCTGTATTTGTTTATAGGTGAATTTTTGTTTTATACTCCAGACTAATCATCTTTGGATTTCATTGGATGTTTGAAAATTTAATAGTTTCTAATTTACATTTCCCTTTATGTTCTAAAAACTTTTCAACTAAGGCAATTTTCAAACACTGTAAAAGGAGAGAGACTTGAATAATTAATTCTTATGTACCCATCACCCAGTTTTTACAATTATAACACATGGCCAATCTTTTTAAAAATTTATACTTCCTGGATTATTTTAGAAGTCCCATTGCTATTATTTCATAGTCTTCAGTATGTATGACTAATAGAAAAAGACTTTAAAAAACCATAATAATAATACTATTCATACTTAAAAATAAACAATAATTCCTTAATATTATTTATATCTAGGCAGTATTCAAATTTGCCATATTGTGTCATGAATGCCACATGATTATAGACATGTTGATTGTAGTTCTCTCCAATCAGGATCCCAGTTAGGCACATACATTGCATTTTGGTTGATATTTCTCTTAAATTGCTTTAATCTGTATCCTTGTGTTGCTTAACTGGCTTTTTGATCTCCACGTGTGTCTTTTATGGTAATCAGGTCTCCAGATTTGCTCAGATTCTAGTTCAAAAATATTTCCCCCCCAGGAATACAGTGTGGTTGATAAATGAATGTGTGTGTGTGTGTGTGTGTTTTACACCAAATCTGTTGTTCCTGCACTAGTTCTCCAATTCTCTGACACCAACTGGGTGTCTAATAATTCAGTTCCATTCTGACACTACACTACCTGTACTTAGCATATACCCTACAAGTTAAGGATTCAGTTCCATAATCTGCCTCTACTTTAGATGCCAGCCACAAGTGGGGTCCCCAGGCTGCTTGCATACATACCTACCCACTCTAAATTTGGGGTTTCCCATGACCCTGCCTGAGGTTAGATAATTCACTAGAACTACTCACAGAACTCAAGGAAGTGCTATACTTAGAGTTGTATTATTAAAGATATAACTCAGAAACAGCCAAATAATGGAAAATAGGCATAAGGCAAGGTACTGGGGCAGGAGGTACAGAGCTTCCATGCCCTCTCTGAGTGTACCACCCTCCCAGGTCATGGATGTGTTCATCAACCCAGAAGCTCCCCAAATCTCATTATTCAGAGTTTTTTTGGTTTTGTTTGCTTGTTTGTTTTGAGACAGTCTTGCTCTGTTGCTTAGGCTGGAGTGCAGTGGTGTAATTTCTGCTCGCTGCAACTTCTGACCCCGGACTCAAGCAATCCACTTATTCCAGTCTCCTGGCTAGCTGGGACTACAGGCTTGTGCCCCATTCCTGGCTAATTTTTTGTGTTTTCTTTTCTTTTCTTTTTTTTAAACTAAAACTTGCCTTATTTATATCCCCAATGGCGTGATCTTGGCTCATTGCAACCTTTGCTTCCTAGGTTCAAATGATTGTCCTGCCTCAGCCTCCTGATAGCTGGCATTACAGGCAGCCACCACTATGCCTGGCAAATTTTTGTATTTTTGGTAGAGACAGGGTTTCACCATGTTGGCCAGGCTGGTTTCGAACTCCTCAGGTGATCCACCTGCCTCTGCCTCCCAAAGTGCTGGGATTACAGGCATGAGCCACTGTGCTCAGCCCACATTTTCTTTATCCAGTCTATCATTGATGGGCATTTGGGTTGGTTCCAAGTCTTTGCCATTGTAAATAGTGCTGCAGTAAACATACGTGTGCGTGTGTCTTTATAGTAGAATGATTTATAATCCTTTGGGTATATACCCAGTAATGGGATTGCTGGGTCAAATGGTATTTCTGGTTCTAGATCCTTGAGGAATTGCCACACTGTCTTCCGCAGTGGTTGAACTAATTTGCACTCTCACCAACAGTGTAGAAGTGTTCCTCTTTCTCCACATCCTCTCCAGCATCTGTTGTTTCCTGACTTTTTAATGATTGCCGTTCTAACTGGTGTAAGATGGTATCTCATTGTAGTTTTGATTTGCATTTCCCTAATGACCAGTGATGATGAGGTTTTTTTCATATGCTTGTTAGCCGCATAAATGTCTTCTTTTGAGAAGTGCCTGTTCATATCCTTTGCCCATGTTTTGGTGGTGGTGTTTTTTTCTTGTAAATTTGTTTTAAGTTCCTTGTAGATTCTGGATATTAACCCTTTGTCAGATGGATAGATTGCAAAAATTTTCTCCCAAATGAAATTCTCTTTAAAGTAGTTTTTTTCC